ATCCTTATTATGTTTAAATATTCAGTTTGTGTTCACACTTCCCCTGTTGTCTCAGACACAATTTTTATAGTTTTCCCCCTCAAATCGGGATCCAAATAAGATTTGCTCATTGATTGATATGTTTTTAAAATATTTGTTTGTAACCCTGATTGTACCCCACATCTTTAAAATAAAAAAATTAGAAGTTTAAAAAAAAAACGCAAAATATTTTTTTAAAAACCCTCTTAATCTACTTTTTCTTGCAGTTTATTTGCCAGACTGAGTCATTTGCTTTCTCTTCATTGCGAAAGAAATGCAGTAAAGCTCCAGATTATTAGGGCCACTTGAAATCATGGTGAAATGCTCTATGTTTAAAAAAAATAATGTCCAGGAAAAATTATTTTATGCTTTTAATGAACAGTCCCATTCTGCGTGTGAGGCCCTCCTTGGACACCCTGTGTGCCGTTTCGTCCTCCCCATGCCCTTGGCACTTCATGTATTCCTCTCCTGTTTTGTTTTTCCTCCTTAACACCTAGAGCTGCCTATGTGTTGTATGTTTCCGTGTTTATTGCCTGCTGCCCCTCTAGAATGTATGTTCCATGGGGGGGCAGGGGTTGTGTGTATTTCGTTCTCTGCTGTATCCTGCGTCTGAAGAGATGAACGAAGATGCTTGAAGGCAGGGCAGAAACGCGGTGAAGATGCTGAGAGAGGAGGGCAGGTAATGCGGAGGGTAAGGAGGAGAGTGTCCCCATGCACCTGCATTTTTGATTAGTCATAGCCATTGGAATCAGAGAGGCCTACACGGTTCTGTGAGAGCGCGGTTGGTGACTGTCTGTCTTCTGCTTGTCACTGAGTGATGGTCGTTGACTGGGTCTGTTGATTCCTGTACCCTTCTGTAGGCTCAGGGCCCATCTAAGAGTCATGGGCTGGTTTGAGCAGTTTTACCAACAGAAACTGGACTGGGAGAACAGTGCTCTCAGACCATCACCAACAGTGTACAAAAGTCCCAACAAGAACAGTGATCTCCAACCATTTGTCTCGATTCAGAACACATTTCCTAACCCTTAGCATGGTTGGATAGCATTCTGACTGTGAAACCATAAACTGGAATGTAGCAGGAACAGCCTGAATGAGTCACCGCTGTGCTAGTAACCAGCCGTGTGGCCTCGAACAGCTTCTGCCACTGTCCTTTGGTCTTCTTGTTTGTGAAATAAAGATGATGCCCTTTCACCACTATAGGGTTGTTGTGAGCCCTCTGTTCTCCAGTGAGCCTGCACGAGAGGGTGGCATTCTGGCTGTGCCAGGAGAGGCTGTGGGGAGCAGTGGCTGAGGAGACAGAGGCCCTACCTCTTTTCTGGGCCACAGCAGGCCCAGGCTAACTGGAGGGCAGGGTATGGCTGGATCTGCAGGCTCCCTTGCCTGTTTTGGGGGTGGGGAAAAGAGATTCTTTTAGGATGTGTTAGCTGAGTGGGGCTGATGCATCTCTCCTCCCCTTCCCTTCCCCAAGGTCCTTGGCAACCTCAGCAGAGCTCCCTGGAGCAAGACAAGGGACAGAGACCTTCCCACTCTGCTGATGGTTTCCTGAGGCATTGTTTTAATCACGTTGGTTAAGAGGATCTTGCAACACCAACAGGATGCATGTCACTGGGACAGCTCATCCTCATTCCTAGAAGTGCTAGTCTGGATACATATATTTTTTCCAGTAAGATGTGAGGTGTTCTGGAAATGCATATCAGTGATCAGAATTCCAGTTGACTCCGCCTCTGCTTTTCCATCACTCCTTGGGGAACCACATTTGCATATCCATGGACAGCAGTTATGTGTTTTTTTTTTCTTGGGCAGAGGTTGTGATTTTTACTACTCCTGGTACCAGACCAGAAGATCTGGATTATTTTCTGGACTCTATGAACTACAGAAAGAAGCCCTAATTTTTTTTTCACTTATAGATTTATGTCATCCGATATAGTAGCCACTAGCCAAATGTGGCTGTTGTTTAAATTCAACGTAGTAAAGTTAAATAAAAATGTAAACTTAGTTCCTCAGTCCTACTGGCAATATTTCAGGTGCTCAAAAGGCATGTGGAAGTAGTGGTGCTTGCCTTAGTGTGGTGTTAGGTTACCAAAATCTCCCAGTAGGGGGATCTCGGTGGGACCTCCGGAAATGTTAGGTTAAGAAATATATCCCGTGAGCCGGGCATGGTAGCGCGCGCCTGTAGTTCCAGCTACTTGGAAGGCTGAGGCGGAAGGATCGCCGGAGCCCAGCAGGTCGAGGCTGCAGTGGTCGGGAGCAGCTACTGCACTCCAATCTGGGTGACAGAGTGAGACTCCAACTCAAAAAAAAGAAAAAGAAATATATCCCGGGGGGACACCCCTTATCAACAAGGGTGCTTGAACGATGCATATATGTATACCTAACCCTTAACTGTACCCCACGATTTTAAAATTAAAAATATATTTAAAAAAAAAAAAAAAAGAAAGACATATATCCCAGCAGGGCCTCCAAAATGTTAAGTCAGACCCGCTGGAATGGGGTTGTACAATCCGGTGCCGCATGAAAGATGCAAAGAATTGCACAGAAGTTAGATTGGAAAATATAGTTTATTTAGAAAGTAAATCAGAAATTGATTGATTCACATCCCCAAGGTAGGGGAGGGGGTCAAAGCTAGGAAACATGGTGACCGTAGCTCAAAGAGCCACGTGGATATATCAGAGTTTAACAAAGCAATGGCTAGAAAGTAAGTTAGAGAGGAGATTCACATCTCCAAGGTAGGAGAGGGGGCCAAAGCTTAGGAAACATGGTGGGTGGCCATAGCTCAAGGAGCACATGATCACACCAGGGCCTAGTAAAGCAATGGGGGCTGGCTACTCGAAATTGAATCCTTTTAAACTTTCCCTTGACGAGGGGAAGGTTGTTAAGGTGATTGGGAGGTGGTCTGCACCATGTCAACACGGAGGGCAGGCACACACAGGTACTGACGTCAGGTGATGGACAGCAGGCAGATGGGTGGGTTAGTCACATGACAGTTGCCATGTTGATGAGGTTGCCATGTGTCATGAAGAGCCAATTAGGTTAACTTGTTTATGGAACAAACTGGGGAAGGGGGTTGTAACATACTCTTCTAGAATGTCTAGTTCATGATTTTCCATTTTGCTTGGTGGGATCATAGCAGCAAAGCCAGGACTAAGTGAAGCAAGGGAGGTGAGCCCTGTGCCAGATTTAAGCAATTACCAATAGCTACCTCTGAGAAACTGGTTCTGTCCTTGGATAATGGATTAGAGGGTAAATTAAAGTGAACTATTAGAAAAATATGACAACTAGGCAGTGTCATAGTGGCTGCTTTTTGAGCATATTAACTCCATGTTATGTCGTTTCATGCAGATTATAGAATGTTTCCATCACAGCAGAAAGTTTTACTGAACAACACTGTAAATATTCCTGCTCAAAGATAAATGAGTGTGGGAAGAGAATGTCAGAGCACTCAGGAGACAAATGAGTGGCAAATGATGAAAAATTATTGCAGTTTTTACTTCATGTTCTTTTCATAATAAAACACTTCTAAAATGAATTCTTACTTCAGGGGAAGACTTAAGCTTCCTCGCATTGACACATTCCATTAGAAGGTTCACTCCAGAGCTCTCTCAACTGTTCTAGTTGCTTGTCACCTTTTAGCACACCTTTTAGCACCCACCATATAGCCAAAGAGTAACTCCTTTCTGCCCTGACTCCACGCACTGCTGGAAGGTCACAATGGGGAAAGTGCATGATTAGAAATTTACACAGCAATCTGTGACCTTTGAGTTAGTGGAAAAGTAAGTGCTTATGACTCTCAGTTTGCCATTTGTGATTCTACAAAAACAGGGAAAAAAGAAACCGTTTAAACATACTCTTCTAGAATGTCTAGTTCATGATTTTCCATTTTGCTTGGTGGGATCATAGCAGCAAAGCCAGGACTAAGTGAAGCAAGGGAGGTGAGCCCTGTGCCAGATTTAAAGAGGCACCACACTCAGGTGCTGACTGTGTACTGGCGTGGACCAGAGAGAGTACGTGTCTCAAAGTTTGCACCCTTTATGACTGGCTTTCCTTGCTATAGTCCCATCCAGGGCTGGCTCTCTTTGGGCCCATTTACCATGCACTCTGGCAGACTGGCTGTGTGGTTCTAGCAATTCTGGACTTGTACATACATGGCTCTTTTGGTGCATACAGCCTCATACTGTGTCTGTACCTCTCCCAGACTGAACCCTTCAGGTGGGGAGTGTATCTCTTTGCTCTTTATATACCTGGACCTGAGTAGTGGATGGGTAAGTTGCTAATGGATCGGTAAACAGATTAGTCCACCAGGGGGCGACTTAATTAGAGTGAAGCGTTGGCATAGACTTTTCTGTTAAGAGTTCTGGTGGCTCAGCCTGTAATCCTGCGCTTTGGGAGGCTGAGGTGAGTGGATTGCCTGAGCCTGCGGGTTCGAGATCCGCCTGGGCAACCTGGCGAGACCTCATCTCTACAATAAATAAAAAATTAGCCGGGCGTGGTAGCGCGTGCCTGTAGTTCCAGCTACTTGGAAGGCTGAGGCGGAAGGATCGCCGGAGCTCAGCAGGTCGAGGCTGCGGTGGCTGGGAGCGGCCACTACAGTCTGGGCGACAGAGTGAGACTCTGACTCAAAAAAAAGAGTTCAGAGAATGTCCTGCATTGTAGCCCACAGTGCTCCACATTTCCTCACAGCTGATGCCTTTCCACACATGGTGAAGCTGAGAATCCTCCCATCAGAGGGTGATGGATGGGCACCACTTCTCCACTTGCCCTTCCCTAGAATTCTTTCGCCTTCAGCATCAGGAGAGAGTTTCTTTCTTCCCCCCTTTCCCTCTGCTTTCTCCAGAGTCTGTACTGTGGCCAGACTGTCCTAGGAACACATGCCTGGGCCCGGGCGTGCCATGATTGGGGGAGGCCTGGGGAAAAAAGCGATTACCTGGGGCTGGGAGGTGCCTTTGTGGATCTGTGTTTCATGCTTCTCCTCTCTGCCTCCACAGAGCGTACTGAAGAAGAGGGATCAAGTTCAAGCAGAGTATGAAGCCAAACTGGAAGCTGTGGCTCTGAGAAAGGAAGACCGCCCCAAGGTCAGGGAAGCCACCTGGCAAGGGCTGCAAAGCTGTAATCTCCCTGCTGGTGCTAAGTAAATTCTTGTCTCTAGATCTGTGTGACTGAGGGTGGTCAGTGCCAACTGTGCTATGTTGATGTTATTATCTTTTTGCTCCCTTTCCTGTCTTATTTTTGAGAGTTCCTAATGGGCAACATTGGGTTGAATTTTCTGCTGTTTCCTTGGTTTTTTTAAAAAAAAGACTTCCAGTTTTGCCATTGATTGGCAATTCCTTGGCATCATAGATGGCACTGCAGAGAGAGGGAAAGAACCGCCTAGACCAGTGCTCTCAAAGTGTGACTCACAGACCAGTTCACAAACTGTGTGATCCGTGATGGGAAAAGTGCAGAAGCCGAGAGTGAGTACTTGGAAACTTCTGTAGCAATTAGACATTGCTGCAGAACCAGTTGAACACATCACATCGAACACGTGAGATGAATGTTGTCAAACTTGTGTGGAGAGTTTCATGTGGAGCACTATGATCATGCCTGTGAATAGTTGCTGCACTCTGGCCTAAACAATGTAGGGATACCCTGTCTTTTAAAAAAATATCAGATTTTGGAGCAGTTTGGGTTTTAAATTGGGGATGCTCAACCTGTATAACAACTACATCATATTTACATTGTATTTGATATTACAAGTGCTCTAGAGATGATATGTATATGGGAGTATAGATGTATATGGGAGTATGTGGGAGGATGTACATAGGTTATGTGCAAATATGACATCATTTTTTTTTTTTGAGTTGGCGTCGCCCAGGCTGGAGGGGCAATGGTTCCAGGACCCCTGTGGACACCACAATCTGTAAATGCCCCTTATATAAAAATAAAGAAGTCACTTATATAAAATGGTATTGGCCAGGCTTGGTGGCTCAGCCTGTTATCCTAGCACCTTGGGAGAACAAGGCAAGTGGGTTGCCTGAGCCCACAGGTTCGAGAACAGCCTGGACAACTTGGTGAGACCTCATCTCTACACTAAATAAAAAAATTAGCTGGGCATGGTAGCAAGTGCCTATAGTTCCAGCTACTTGGAAGGCTGAGGCGGAAGGATCGCCTGAGCCCAGCAGGTCGAGCCTGGGGTGACCGTGAGTGTGCCACTGCACTCCAGCCTGGGTGACAGAGTGAGACTCTGACTCAAAAAAAAGAGACAGAGATGAGCAAGCCAAGGCCAAGTATCTCACAGCCAGTCACTGGTAGAGCTAGGATTATACCCTGCAGCCTGACTTTAGAATCTTGTACTCACCATTATATTACTCTGCTGCTTTTTTGTTTGTAATTGGAAGGTGTATTTGTTTTCAGAGAATGAGTGGGGGTAGGGAAGTTTATTAAGATAATAGCAGGGACCCGAGTTTCAGATAAATAGGTTGACATCAGAGTCACTAGGTTTTTTTTCCCTTCCCTTGCCTTGGTTCTTGCTGCCACTGTGGCCTTGCTGAGACATACCTGGACAGGAACCAGCTTTGAGCATTTGAAACTCACACCTCAGAAATGGCACATCTTGGCTTTGTATAGAGCATTTTAAATATGAATTGCTTCACAGGATCACCGCAGTTGTCATCTGAAGCCCAGAGGGAAGGCATTGTTTTTGTCCCATTTCATGGGTGAGGAAATGAGACACAAAGCAACTCAGTAAATTGCCTAGCCTGTTTGATGCCAAATGTCTCTATGTCCTGTACATGTTTGCTGTGTTGACTTGAGCTACTCCCATGGTGATTTGTGTTACCAAAGCATGAAGTCAGATGATAAGGATTGGGACTCTGGTGTTTGACCCAGTGGTGCAGCTAGGACCCTCCCTCTCATTCCTCTTACTACAAGCTGTCAGCCTTCTTCCATCCTGTGTGCCATAAGGAAGGCAATGACAGAAATGCAGCCATGTGTGCACAGCTACCCTCTACCTGCCAGTTGCTGGTCTCAGCGAATAGCTCTCAGCTGACCCTGTGACATTCTGGAACATGGTGCTGTCTGTTGAGTCTCAGTCTCATTTAAAGGGATGACTTATTTTTATATACACTATTTTAAAAGTTTCTAGCCAGGCATGGTAGGTCACACCATAATCCCAGCACTTGGGGAGGCTGAGGTGGGAGGATTGCTTGAGCCCAGGAGCTCCAGACCAGCCTAGGCAACATAGCAAGACCTCATCTCTACAAAAAAATAAAAACTTTAGCCAAGCATGGTGCTGTGCACGTGTAGGTGGAAGAATCTCCTGAGTCTAGGAGGTCAAGGCTGCGGTGAGCCATGATTATGCCACTGCCTTCTAGCCTGGACAACAGAGTAAGACCCCAACTCAAAAAATAACAGTAATAAAATAAAAATAAATAAAAAGTTTTCTTCTAACAATTTAGTCCCCAAATATAAAGATAGAAGTTACTTTACAGAAAGACAAATACTGCATGATCTCATTGATGTGGAATCTAACAAAGTTGAAGTCATAGAAACAGAGAGTAGAGTGGTGGTTACCAAGGTTTGGGGTCTGGGGAAATGGGGAAATGTTGTTCAGAAGGTACAAACTGTCAGTTAAAAGATGAACAAGCCCTGGCTAACTTATGTACAGTATGGGTGGTGAGGGATATGCTCATTAATCAGTATGTGGCAGTTATTATACAGTGTATACATAAATCAAATCATCTTTGCCAATTAAATATTGAAAAAAATTAGAAGTCACTTTTTCTGACTAGGAGAGAGAAGGAGAACCAGCAAGTTCTGCTACTGGCCTACTTTGGGAACTGAGGCTCCTGCGTCTTAAAGCTGTCACTTAAATAGATGTCAGCACATGTATATACTCAGCACTGAATACATGCTTCCTCAGAGGCCGGTTTTGTCATTGAATATGTTTAGCCTCGTATGGGATACATTCCTTTCCAAAGTCAGGAGCTGAAGTTGTGAATAACAGGCTGAATTAGTCTTAATTGTGCCCTGGTCTTCTGGCTTCTGGCAGCTCACACCAGCCTCCGCAGTCCTGAGCAAGGAAAAAACTGTCTTTGGCTCCCCGATACCACCCAGCCGAGTTGCTGAGGCTCCCGGCTTCTTGTTCTTGTTGATCTGAGTGACTATTCTCTCCATTCCCGGTGGTTGTTGAAATCTTCCTGCTGCTACTGTTCATCACCTTCGTAGAGCACCACGTACCCACACAGCTCATCCTCTTGGCCACTGGAATTCTTACCAGAGTAGGAGGGTTTCTTTCCAGTCAGTGAGAGTAACCAGTGGGTCCCAAGCACACATCTACATTCTGTTAGCACACCATTGCTGGGCCGTCTTCATCTTCCCTCTTTCTCGTGGGATGTTGAGCAATGCCAAAGTTAATCTTGCTACTTACTTATTTAGCATCTGTGATATTTAAAGACAAAACCGGAGCTGTCATGGTGAGTGTAACCTAACAATGGGCACAGCAGAAATTGTGTGCCAGTTTTGGATCTGAGGCAGCAGCTACCCTGTTGGGCAGAGGGGAGGGCTCAGCTGGCAGCCTGTCGAGTCTACCATGGTTTGGTGGAAAGAACACAGGGTTTACAATCAGATGGCCCTTGGTTCAAAGCCCAGCTGTGGCCCCAACTTGCACTAATTTGCTCCTCAGCCTTTGTGGGCCTCAGTTGCCTCATACATGTGATTGTTATGATGCCAGAACATGTTCAGCATCGTAGTATGGGACATAGTAGCAGACACTCCATTGGTGGCACCTCTGGTGTTTATGCCGGTTCCAGTAGGAATGCTGATGGGGAACTTTGTTTTCTGGGTTTGTTGCCACTTTCTTTTTTTTAATCTTTTTTTTCCCCCTAACCACAGCATTTTAGACATTGCTGTATGTTCTCAAGCTTCTCTACCCCTCCCCCACACCTGTCCTACCTGACAACCCACCAGCAGGTATAGACATCTAGGAAATGAGCAACATAAGGTTTGCTGTGCTTTGCTTGATGTGGTTATGAGTTCACAAAACCAGAGCTGCTGTTGACGAGATAAAAGCCAGGGTATCAGGAAGTGGGTTAGGGCTGTTTCTACCCCAAGAACTTGGCCAATTCTGTTGGTAACTGATAGAGGGAATGAGATGGCTCACAGGTCTGTTGCAGGGGAGGGGAGAGCCTGGATCTGAACAGGTTAACACTTCTGAGGGAGTCTGGGGGCTTTCCTCATTTTGAGGTGAAATTCTGAAACAATTTCCCTGAAGAGTGGGGGAAAGTTGATTTTTGTGAAACCATGGAGTAATATCAAAATCTGATCACGTTTTTTGTAACTCAGAGGAAGGAAATAGCTTCTCAGGTCTCTACAACCTTACTGTGCATTTTAAACTGAGGTGGTCATCTTACGACCACGGAGTCCTGGGATGTCATGGATGTAGGAGTGAGTTGTGTGGCCCCAGTTGCTGGACTGGGAGCCTTTGGCTCCTCAGTGTGTGCTGAGGGCGTGGGGTGAAAGAGCCTTTCGAGCTGAGGGGAAATAGTAGTATCACAGAATTTTTTTTTTTTTTGAATTGGAGTCTCACTCTGTCACCCAGACTGGAGTGCAGTGGCCGCTTCCAGCCACCACAGCCTCGACCTGCTGGGCTCCAGTGATCCTTCCACCTCAACCTTCCAAGTAGCCGGAATTACAGGCATGCGCTACCACGCCCGGCTGATTTTTTGATTTATTGTAGAGATGAAGTCTCGCTGCCCAGGCGGGTCTTGAACCTGCGGGCTCAGGCAATCCACTCATCTCAGCCTCCCAAAGGCGCGGGATTACAGGCTGAGCCACCGAGCCCGGCTACAGAATTTATTTTTATGTATTTATTTTTTTTTGAGTTGGAGTCTCACTCTGTCACCCAGACTGGAGTGCAGTGGCACACTCCCGGCCACCGCAGCCTCGACCTGCTGGGTTCCAGCGATCCTTCCACCTCAGCCTTCCAAGTAGCTGGAACTACAGGCATGCACTACCACGCCCAGCTAATTTTTTTGATTTATTGTAGAGATGAGGTCTCACCAAGTTGCCCAGGCGGGTCTTGAACCCGTGGGCTCAG